AAGCCCTCCCCCAAAATATTTAACCGCATGTGCAGCCGGTCCCCATTTCCTCTGATTAGGGTTAGGGAGACAGAGCTGGAAATCAGGTAAGACGGCAAGAGGAGCCCCGTCTTGCTCCACACACCCCAAAATAATAAGACCTCCCCAAAAATAAGGCCAAGCACTTATAAAAATATAAGGGTCTTATTTTCGGGGAAACACTGTACTATATATCCCTATCTGACTTGCTATATATTTTATACACTCTGTCTTCTAATCTGTTTTAAATCATTTATTTAGACATTTCAATGATTTAAAACAGACTTACAAGACAGAGGGTATAAAATTGCAAGTATTTTGCCAATTATATATAAGTACCATATGAACATGGAAATCTATTCAACTTACGATACTACTTTTGGAAAAGCAGCACTTTCTTCTTTCAACTGCAGCTCTTTAGCTAGCTGTTCACTCATGACATCAGCAAGAGAACATGATATTGTAGTGCTTTCAGGAGTTCCCCATGGGCACTGCAAAGACAAAATATTGCATTGATCATCAGAAGATACAATGTCAGGTACAAGCAACCATACCCATAACCAGGAATAGTCCCAAATAGACATTTTATTGATGATCAACTTTTTTAAAAAAAATTGATTTATATGCCGCTCTTCTCCGGAGACTCAGGGCAGTTTACAATGCGTTAAGCAATAGCCTTCATACTTTTGTATATTTTATACAAAGTCAGCTTATTGCCCCCACAATCTGGATCCTCATTTTACCTACCTTAGAAAGGATGGAAGGCTGAGTCAACCTTGAGCCTGGTGAGATTTGAACTTGCAGTAATTGCAGGCAGCTGATGTTAATAACAGTGCTTTAGTCTGCTACGTTACCAAGGCTCTTTTGTAAGAATCTCACCAGAATGTCTGCCTTCCCTTGGGAAACCATGACTATAGACCTATGGTTTTGACAATAGACACTTCCTTCCCTAGAAGGAACTCCAAACTAGAATGTCTCTTTACTTCCTGTAGAGGGGCTCCCTCTCCTTCAGCCAGTGATTCCACCACACACATTTCTCTACAATTTTTCTTATGTATATAAAGAAGCCTGCTTATTAAGAAAAACATTTATTTTGCCACTATTGCTTTTTCAGAATATAAATTACACTGGACATTTTTTCCCCAAAAGGTTTGCTTTTTGAATAACTTGATGATTATGATAGACCCCTTAAAACTGAACACATAATTTTAGAATGCATGTATAACATTGGGATTTTGCAAAATATGAAATTAACATTTAATGGCTATAATGTATTTAAGTGCGTAATGTTTCTGACCTGCTGCACAAATGTGAGGAACTCAGGCCTTGTCTTGATCATCAATCTCACAACCAAAGTACAGTTCACACACTTTTTTAACAACTCCAGTCATGATGCCTCTTTGAGGCTTAAGCATATATTCAACACAAATGTAGCAGAATGTAGCAGAGCTGTTAGACATTGGTGAGACATTTCTGCCATTGCCTATCATCCTCTCGCAAGTCTATAGCTGGCTTACTTGTTATGTAAATTACATGTACATATATGCCTTCAAACAATTTCATCAAAATACATGGAAACTGATACCAACAAAATTAGTGGCATTTGTGCTTGTGAGCTGCTTTTATAGCATTTCCAGGCAACATCCATACAGCCTCAACATGACTAGGCATGCCCAAATTGTATCAGATCCAGAAATGTTATGCAATATGCTGATTGCATGCCTGGACATGCATGAACTACATAAGCATCTTATAATGCAAGCAAAAAATAGTAAATTTGAATTATATGTAAGAAGAAATTGCAAAAACAGATGATTTCTATAAAACATCATGTAATAGGTTAAATTGCAGGTTAGTTTCATGATTAGCAGTCAAAAATCTATAAGTTACATCCAAAAGTGTTCAGAAAGCAAACTTTGTTGTCCAATGTTACCAATCATTTATAAACCAAAAAGTTGACTTCCTGTTGCTTATTAGTTTTAAACTTTATAAAATTAACTTGAATGCTAAAGAATAAGATTGGACAGAAATCTATTTTTTCTTGGAAAAAATACACCTTAGCCCATTACCTCAAAGATTACATTTTTATTTAAAAGAAAGTTACTGAAGTAGTGGGATGAGTTTCTAAATACTAAGTATGGTTCTTCTCTATCCACCTTTCCTCCAATTTAAAACAGCATCAATGTTTCTTTCTCCATTCCATTTTTTGTGATATATTGACAGTAAAGGTGAAGTTAAATTGATTATAATCCAAGCGTTTTAGATATTACAGTGACATTCTAGATACTATCCACTTGTTATTTCCCCCCCCCCTTCCCCAAACACTGGGATAAGAAAGCCCCAAATGAGCTCAGAATTATAAGATCTTATAAGATCCAACTCAGATTTCCTGGTGGCCACTGGGAGCGTTAGGATTTGTCTTCCCTGAGATGTTAATACTTTTATTATTATGAAGAGTAACAGATGAAAGACACCTTTCCCTTATGCCTTTGGGAGCCTTAATGTGACAGAAAAGATGGTGACCTTTATACCAGGCTAAGCTGCACCTGTTGAATATCGGGTTATTCATCAACTACGAAGAGGCAGAGAGAGAAAGATGGCCTCTCTGCCGATCGAACAAGGAAGAGGGAAACCCCGAAGCCAGCGGGGCCTAAAGAATCAGGTCCTCCAATCTTCGGCTGGCTGAGGCTGGAACCTTAAGTAACCCAGTGGAGAAACACAGCGGCCCCTCAGAGGTATGAAGGCTGCGAACGTCACCGTTTTCGCCCCGGCAAACAGTTGGCGTCAAACGTCCACGCGTTTAAAACAGCCGTTCCGTTCTCTCTCTCTCTCTCTCTCTCTCTCTCTCTCTCCCGGGAGTTTCCAATCCATGGGATCCCTCAGCCACAAATCCAGATTTGGGGGAGTCCCGGATGACGCACCCGCCCTGCCCTTCCCCACGCACCTTGCTTTGAGGCCAGGCCGGGCCGGGGCTCGCTTCAGCAGCAGGGATGACAGCAGCGACACCAACGGGGTCCATGTTCGGCGGATAAAGAAGCAAGACGAAGGCACGCGAGAGAAGGAAAACCAGCTGAAGCGACCGGTGAGCAAAAGCGACTCCTAATGGAATGAATCTCTTTCCGGCTTCAGGAACTTCCCGAAGCTTCTCCCGCCCCCTTGATCATCGGCGGCGGCTGTTCATTGGCTCCAAAGCCAAATTCCAGCCCAGCGGCTGAGCTGTTTCCTCTTTTGGAATGGTCGCTTTTCTTTTCCCCGCCCTCTTGACGTCATTGACCCCCGCCCTCTCTCGCTCCTCCCGGTTGCGTTTAATCGTTAGAAGAGGCTTTGACGTTTCTGAAAATGGTCTCACAGTAAAACAAAACAGCTTCCTTCTTCGGCTTGAGTCCTCTCCGAGCTTCAATAGATGCAAGATCAGGGAACAATTGAATAGACGCCCATCAGGTTGCAAAAATGGCTTCAAAACAAAAGCGGTTTTTTTTTGCTTCTGAGTAAGAGTCATCACCCAAAGCTCATAGAGCACCAAAGACCCCACAAAAGCAATTTTGTTAATGCAACTGTGTTATGCTTACTCTCTCGGCCAGAAACCATAAAATGGATGTTTATATCAATCAGTATGCATGGAGATTCTGAGTCATCCAGGTCATGGTTGTCCCAAAGGTGCTTTTTCAAGAGGCAGCTGGACTTTCTGGTTTTTCTTTGAAGACATTTCGCTTCTTGAATGAGAAGCGAAACATCTTGGGTATCGATCAGTAGATTGAATGACAGGTTGAACAACCATTAGTGCTTCCTTTTCCTCCCCTGCTTTGGTTAGCCTCCTTTCCACTTGAAAGATACAGTACAATGTTTGACTTCTTTTAGCTTTCCTTACACACATACAGAGAATACGGTATCAAATAAAACATGAATGAAGCAACGATGCCACAGGTTTTAATGTATGATTGTGCTGATCAGTGTTACGAACTATTCTTCACACTGTTTAATTTTGGGGGCCCAGAAGACATCACAGTTCACCTTTCCCTGCATCATAAATGTAACAAGTCAAGTTAAAAGGTATAAATAAAAAGATGTGTTGGAATATGGATTGCTCTTTGTAATGGATATCAAAAAGAAATGAGTGATGTCTTAAAGTTCCTCAAAGATTTTGAGGAACAAAGGTTTTGTGTGAGAAAGGACAAATCACAGGTGTTTTCGGTTGGTGTCCTATTTCAGCCTTTTTTTTAAAATGTAGGACCTTAGACTTTTTCTTGTCTTTTCCACTGTTTTTTCTAATTCGATTACATCCCATTTTCCATTTTGAAAATGTTGGTAAAAATTATGCTGACAAGCTTCTAAGATAGCATGCCTTTTGACCAATATCAGCTATATTCTGCCAATCTATTCCTTTGATCCAAATCCATTGGGTCCTTTCTGAAAACAGCTGGAGTGCAGACACTTTCTTTGCTCTGGACAAGCAGTTATGACGGTTTCCAAGACCCCATCTGTGCATCCAGGATGCTATCAGGATGTCTACAAAATCAAATAAATAAATAAATGTTTACATTTCTCTGTAAACATGCATTTCTAATGCAGTATGTATCAATAGTTATTAACCCACAAACTTTAGGTGTCTTCGATCATTTTTATTTGATTTATTTATTTATAACCCACCTTTATTATTATAAATAACTCAAGGCAGCTAACTTATCTAACACCCCTCCTCCTTCCTATTTTCCCACAACAACAACCCTGTGAGGTAAGTTGGAATGAGAGAGAGTGATTGGCCTAAGGCCACCCAGCTGGCTTTCAGAGGTCCTGAGTCCAAAATACTGCTTTCTAAAGCAATATTTCTCAACTTTGACAACTATGAGATACGCGGACTTCAACTCCCAGAATTCCTCAGCCGGCATGCTCTCGTCTAGGAGGTTGAGAAATGCTGCTTAGAGGGAGCGCTACCCCTTTAAGAAGGCTGTTTCTCGGCTCCTTTTCTTTGCGTCCATTGGAGCAGAGGCAGTAGCGACGTGTCCCTGTTATGGCAGCCACATACAGCCGGACGGAGATGCTTTAAAGCCTGGTGACATGCTTTGACTGATGCCTTTCAAGAGACCTGCCACTGGTCTTGCTTTCTGTTTGTTCTACTTGAGTTCTTATTTCACCAACAAGGTGAGGATGAAGGAGCTACCAACTACAGTATTACAAACTGATCATTATGTATTCCTTTTCCTGTGGTTGGGTTTGGGGTGGTCCGCTTAGGTATTTCAACATTTCAGAGGAGTTCAGGGCTTGCCCGATGTGTATTTCTCCACGATTAAAACCTGCTTGGTGAAGTCTGACTGAGTAGCGCTTTGTATTTGAACACCGCGGGTCCTTCATTCAGCCCATCCGGCATCCTGCCTGACAATGAGAATTGTGGGAGAGAACAAAGGGAAATCCACCGTCTGCAGAGGACAGTCTGCGAAGGAAGATTTCAGCTGATTAATTCACAAAAATGCACTATTTGTATAAGTTCTCCAAGCTTCAATGGGACTTAATATCTCAGATAGTGGCTGCAGTCTAGAAGTCAATGCCCTAGTAAAAGAAAAACTGTCTCTAGCTGAGTTTGACATGCTGAATTACAAACTAGTAAATAAATATTAGTAAAACCTGTAAACTCTAGCTGAGTCTGACACTGAACTACAAACCAGCCAACCACATTTCAATCTAGTATATTCAGAGGTTCATATAGTTGATTTATAGTTTGGTGTTCAATGTAAACCTGGAAAGTGAAGTTAATAAGGTAAAGTATTGGTCAGTTAATATAGGCATGATAATGAAAAACCTTTTATCTCAAATGTTAGGAAAAACTAGGAATAATTAAGTATAAGACCAAAGTTGCTGAAAATAGGCAACAGATTTCTCTTATACAAAAGTCATATCAAGTTCAAGCATCCAACTCTACTTACGCAACAGATTTTCAAGTAAGGAGGAAACTATCAGATTTTTTGCTTATCTCTTAAATACACACACACACACACACACACACACACACACACACACACACGCTATCAAACTAATACTGATCTCATAATCATTGACTTGAGTCCAATGCCCAGTACACTTCTGGAATTCAAATTAAGAATCCTCAACAAATGGCTGTCTAGCCTCTGTTTGAACATCTTCAGGGAAGGGGACCAACCAGCCAAAATTTGTGGATAATTGGTTCCACTATTTAACTTGTGAAGAGTCCTCCCCCACCCCATCATTCAATCACAGCACATGTTCTTATAATTTAACATTGTTATCTCCTGGGAGATAATTTTGATATGACAAGTCTATAATATAGTAATGAGGGGAGCATGCATACAATTGATGATTCTTCCCTCAAAATGTGGCTTTGTTCACTATATATACTCTTAAACAACATGGTAAGTTAATGTGCCTCTTATTCACTATTTCCCTTTATTTTTCTTTATACTGAATCAGCATTTCATGACTTTCACCTTAAAATTATGCTCTTATAGTATCTTAACTGCCAATAACTCATTTTCTCACTTCACAAAAGTAGATCTATATATTCTATGATAGGGAGAGGAATGTGTTCATTACGATGTACTGTATTAGATAATTATTGACTTCTAATTTTGTGTTAGACAATTATTGGCTTCTAATTTTGAGCATGAAGCCACATCTTCCATAAGTATGGCTTGCGCATGGTCACTTTATGATAATGTAATGAATGCTCTCAGTATTACATTTTCAGTATTACATTTTCAAATATACAGTTTTCAAAAAAAAAGTAAGGATACACCCAGGAAATGAAGTATATGGACATACTTCATTTCCTGGGTGTATCCTCACTTTTTTTGAAAACTTGTATATTTGAAAATGTAATACTGAGAGCATTCATTACATTATCATAAAGTGACCATGGACAAGCCATTATTATTCATTAGATTTCAATATTGCCTTTATTTTGTACAAGTCTAGGTGGCATACATAAATTGTCCCACTTCCTATTTCCCCCAAACGGGGGTGGATTCTACTTACCTTTACTACCGGTTCGCAATGGGATCTCATGCGCCTGTTTGCTTTGCTTGTGCGCGTGCCTTCTGCGCATGCGCAGAAGCTTCTGCACATGCGCAGATAACCGATGACGATATCCAGGGCAGTGGGCAGGGCCTCCTGCCAGTTTTTCTACTGGTTCCAGCGAGCCGGTCCAAACCAGGGGCAACCCACCACTGCCCCCAAAGCAACAATCCAGTGAGGTGAGCTGGAAAAAGTGATTAGCTTAAAATCACCCAGCCGACTTTTGTGCCTAAGGATGGATCAGAATCAGGGGTGAAATGCTCCTGGTTGGGACCGGATCACCCGATCCGGTAGCAATGGAGGCAGGTGGTTTGGAGAACCAGTAGCAAAACTCCCTGCCTCCCCCCATTGCCCAGCTGAGCCGCGCAACATCAGAGACTTTTTTTTATTTTTAAAAGCATTTTTTCTACAACCTCTTTGGCCGAAAAAATGCTTTTAAAAGTAAAAAAAAAAGTCTTTGATGATCACGCGGCTCAGCTGGGATCATCAGAGGCTTTTAAAAGCATTTTTTCTACAACCTCTTTAGCCAAAGAGCTTATAGAAAAAATGTTTTTAAAAGGAAAAAAAGCCTCTGCTCAGCTGAATCAGAGGAAAAGCCTCTGCCGATCAGGCAAATCAGCTGGGATCGTCAGAGGCTTTAAAAGCATTTTTTTTACAACCTCTTCAGCCGAAGAGGTTGTAGAAAAAATGATTTTAAAAGAAAAAAAAAAAAAAAGTTGGCCACGCCCACTCAGTCATATTACCCCACCACCACCAAGCCATGCCCACAGAACCGGTAGTAACAAATTTTACATTTCACCACTGATCAGAATTCATGATCATCTAATTTATAATCCATTACATCATACTGATTTAAACATCTTTTTATTCAATAAAAATGATAAGGCTTTACAGGCCAGTGAGGTCTATGAAAAAAATCCAGAAAAGAAAGAAAAGAGGAGTTTCCAGTGAGCCATCATGGTCTCACTTCTAGAATAGACTGAAAATGATCCTCAAATATGGGGTTTGGTCTGCCGAAATCTCTCCAGAGTAAGGAGAAATTGCAAGATTATCCATAGGTACTCCAGACAGCTGGGTTTTGTGTGAGCAGATGGCAGGAATTGTTTTTTTGCAGTTGGCTTGCAATTAGCTGGGAGTTGCTGGATTTCATTGTGCTTATAGCCATTAATGTTGCCTGTATGAACTTTAAGGTTGACCGAGGCTCACCCCTTAATCTCTATGGATTTAATTTTGTTTTGGTTTTTTGCTGTTTTTTAAAGATTTTTTTTTAAAGATTGAGAACGTTCAGACTGGCAAATTTTATTGAAATCATTGGGTGAGTTTTTTCGATCCTTTAAAAGCAAGAAGGTTAACTAAAAATATAAACATATGTAACAAAACTTGTTTTTGGAATGTACAGCAGAAGGATGATTAATGTTGGCTTTAGAAAGTTTTAAATAGATTAAGGGCTGAGATGGGCTTGATTTAAAACTTTGAAGTTAATTGAAAGAATTGTGTTTATACTTAGAAATAATTGATATGATGACTTTGCTTAAGATTAAAAGATTTTTTTTGTTGAATGGACATGATGAATGAAAGTTTTAAGGTTATTTACCTCTACAGCAGAATTAAAATACGTTACTGAAGAGGAACAAACCCCACTGAATAAAACTGAAATTGACTTGCAGGTGGATTAAAAAATGATAGCTTAGAAAGAAATGGAAATAAATGATTTAGAAATGAAGCTGGATGATGATTTAATATTTAAAAAGCATACAAATAAATCAGAAGAGTGATGTAGATAACTTTTGTACATTTGATTTACAAAAGTGATAAAAGTTGCCGTATTGGAATTACAAAAGCGACAAAGATGCCAAGAATTTTGAGAGAAGAGATGAGAAGAGACAAAGTATGAGAATTTGTTAGAATATTAGAATTTTCTTTAAGGAATTTAAAGACTATTGGGAGGAAGAAGAAAGAATACAAAATTGGTTTAATGGGGTTTATTTATTTTTTAACTAGGAATGGATGATGTTTACTAAGATTGGATGATGAGGTCTGGATGAAGAGAGGAAATTGGGCTATCTGTTTAAATACGGTAGAAATGGAGATAAATATGAAAGGAAGGATTCAAATCAGATGTTGAAGATACAGTTTGTAATAGTTATGTTATTTCTGATAAGCCTTAATGGATTCTTGCTGAATAATGTAGAGAGATGAAGTTTTAAAGATGGATTTATAAAAATTGGGGTGATGTATGGGATGAAGAGGTGTTGGTTTTGCTTTAAGAGATAGTGATAAATTGTTAATGTCAACTATATTTGCTGGAGATGAAGGAGGAGGTTTCCTTTTCTTATTTTTCTTTTTTACTCTTTTTTCTTTTTCTGCTCTTTTTAAAGTTTGACTTTTTAATATATTTCTGGTTGTACTATTAGTTTTATCTGTATAATATAATTTTCAATAAAATATTGGGAGAAAAGACAACATCTCAAGTACTAGTAAAAGTGGTAAGGAACAAATACAACCTTCTGGAGGTTGTGACTGTCCATACTCACAGTGGCAGATCTTTTGTGTGAATGGCCTAGTCCACATTCCCACTATGCCTATTGGGTCATAAAAGTATGCTATGATTTCTATAAAATATATTTTCATGCATGTGTGTAGATAATATATAAAGTTGTGTTTTCTGATTTTTTTCAGTATGTCCTATCTGTCCTGAAATTCACCTATCCAACACTTTTTCAAGGGTAAGCATAATTTCATATATACATGGAAAAGAAGTATTTAATCAGTGGGCATTGAACCAGAGAGAAGCTAATCTTTGTACTGCATGTATTGCAATTGCTATTTTTCCTCACTTGGAGAGCTCTTACAGTATTACACTTAACCTACCGGTAGTATCCTTCTGGACTACATTTCCAATCACTAAGCCTGATTGCTGATCCTCCAGGCTATATTATATTGTATCATTACATGATGTCCTGATATCCTAACAAACAGTAAGTTGTGGGAATAATGTATGCATCCTTTATTTTTACTTCTTTTGATCAGCAATAAGCAAGACTATCATATTCTGTAGATGTGATGTGCAAACATGGTTTGCATGCCATACTAAACTACTGAAGACTTTTTCTCATCTGTCTCTTTACAAAAACAAGATGAAAATGGTTTGAAATTTATTTGTCATTGTGTATCTAAGGTCTCTCAGTTCATACTGCTTATTTCTAGTTGGTACTTACTCAGAAGTTCTAGTGGTGGGTTTCTACTGGTTCCCCCCGGTTAGGGCGAATCAGTAGTGGTGGTGGCAGGAGGCTCTGGCCTGACGTCATCACAGACGCTCTGCGCATGCGCAGAAGTGCTGTGTGTGAACGAAACAAGCGCGTGCATGCACGTTCTCCTGGTTCTGAACCGGTAGCGAAGGAAGTGGAACCCACCACTGACTTACTCAATGTACCAACTTCATGATTTAATTTGATCAACTTACTCCCAGAAGAAAGGGCTCAGTCTTTCATCACATGTGGTACCGTGTTTCCCCGAAAATAAGACCCTGTCTTATATTTTTTTGAACCCTAAAATAAACGCTTGGCCTTATTGCCATGCACTCAAAAGCCCAATTGGGCTTATTATCAGGGGATGTCTTATTTTCAGGGAAACAGGGTAGAAATATAAACATGTTTTCTGTGTCATTTACAAATATATATTCTTTGATAAGGAGTGGTTATTGTTCGTTGTTGTTATTGGACATATGCTTTCCATGCAACTTGTCCACACTCTACCACTAATATCTCAGTGCAGGCCTAGGAAAGACAAAAGTTGTAAGGGCTCCTACATTACTGAATTAGATGGATAACTTTGTTCCTAAGCTCTCAAATAATTGAAAAAAAAACCCCTAATAATAATAATAAAAGCAGCAGGAATCCACATGAACGGCAACAGCAGCACATTCTGAGATAAAAAAAGCACAAAGCCTCTGGTGCCAGAAACAGAAATTTTGCATCTGATACATGGTACAGAATCCAGAAGCCTCCATTACAAATTATAAATATCACACAATTTTTTTAACTTATATTTTTTTACATGTGTTGTTCAGGTGGCAGACACTTGTTGGTGGAATTCTCTTACATGTTTCCTGGAAAATCGGCTGGGTTGAGATTAGCAGCAGTTCAAGGTATAGGTGAAAATGCAGCATAAATAAATAAACCAATATTAATAGATAGTCTCTGAAGTAAAATATTTGGAGTAATATCCATTGAGAGAGATATTATTTTACCATATACTTTGATTGTATTCCCATTCCGCCTCCCTTAATATTGCAAGAATTCTGAAGTGAATTTTTTTAAAAAGACTTTTTTTTTTAACTTGCTTTTGTTATTGGGATGTTTTATGTGCAATAAAATGAAAACAAAAGAGTTTTGATCATGTTGTCCTTGCCATCTTGACCCTTTTAACATCTATGACTTTTCTCCTACATTCATGAAATTTTTAGTTCCTATTTATTTATTTATTTATTGGTTCAATTTATATGCCGCCCTTTTCCGGAGACTCAGGGCGGCTTACAATGCGTTAAGCAATAGCCTTCATACTTTTGTATATACCTGCTTAGTAGGACTTTTGCCCCCCCCCACCCAAGCGGTGTTCTTTTTTATACAAAGTCAGCTTATTTCTCCCACAAACCGGGTCCTCATTTTACCTACCTCGAAAGGATGGAAGGCTGAGTCAACCTTGAGCCTGGTGAGATTTGAACTTGCAGTAATTGCAGGCAGCTGGTATTACTTTAGTCTGCTGCGCCACCAAGGCTCTTTTGGTCACGTATGTTGCAGGATATATGTACCATGAGTGTTTTTCTACCACTAAAATTGTCATTAACATTGAGGAGATTACTCAACTCCATAAAAATCTGCTTTTGAGTATCAGATGCTATCTAGATCTAAAAACACTAGCAAGCATAATAAACCCTGTTTCTAGAATATCAGCAACATTTCATCCAGGCCCTCCAGTGAAAAACTCTTCACAATATTTTTAATTTGGGTTATTATTTGATGAAGGCCAGGTTCCCTGGGGAAGGAAAATCAAGCTTAATGTTAAATACATAAATTTATGCTGGCTACCTTAGAAATATGAAACTATTTTCAGCCAATTATTCAGATTTTTAAACATTCTATAAGTAGTAAGGGATTCATATTGATTCCTGTTAGCATTATCATTTTAGTTGTACCTGAAAGTAGATATGGGCGGTGGTTATTTATATGCAAATAAAACACCAAATTGTGGTATTAAAAAACAGATTGGATGCTTCCAGACTTGTATTAACAATTTAATAAAATTGTTAATCTCATTTTAAGGGTTTAAGAGACAACTTTTTCTTCCTCTTACAATTTTTTCATGGTTTTTCACTCGGTTTTTGTCATGTTTTATTCCATGTAAAATACTGCAATTTGGAATAGCTGCACAATGCCTTTTGACTGGTGGTATTCCCTTAAATTTCAAAACATGTCAGTCACTTTGTTCATCATTTTCTTCACTCTATTTTTGTAGATTTGGAGCTATGAGTTTTACCCCACTAGATGTCAGTGTAATTTAAGCCAAAGAATACCGACTGTTATGCTATAGTTTAGCAATAAAAGCATCTATGTTCTGTATATTTGAAAGGAAGAGGAACTTTTTTTAGACCTCTCTTCAACCATTTTTGCCATTTGCTTTCTTCAAAACATGCTTTGCCTTTATGCTAAGAATGAGGAATGGTTGAATGAGCCATTTTGGATTTCTTTTCATTTCTTATTTTTATTCATGTTATATTTGATTCACTGGAATTGCAATTATTTTATTTGGATGGATGTTTCTTTAAATGTATGCATTAAAAAAAACTAATATGGTATATTTGTAATTCTTTTCATACATTTTTCTATACTATTTTATGATCCACAGTTTTATAATTGTTTCTGAGCTGCAGTGTGAAATTGAGATAATTGTGAATTTTAAATTAATTTTCAATTTAATTATCTTTTACATTACTAATTTTCTCTTTATTAATTGCAATAACATTGAAAAATATCATTTTATAATATTTCATAATTTATTTTCTATAAGTGTAGCATGAATTGAAATATCCAAGAATTGAAAGTTTGCTTTTACATAGGTATATTCTTTGAAATGTTTCTTTTCCATTCTGTTTCTCTGAATGAACAGGCAAAGAAGGAACCTACTTATATAGCAACCTTAAATAGTTTCTAAATGAACTTGGCTTTTAAGCTCATTAACAAAGGAAGCCTGGAATAGCTTTTTGTTTGGGTACTGATTTTTTTTTATTATTGATGCTTCTGACTTGTTCATTGAACAGGTTTTGGCAAGCTTCATTGTGAAAAAATAATAATAGAACTGCAATTTTGATCTGTCATCCCCAAGTCACTGATACAGTGACGCTTTCTGTTTGTGCAGTATTACATATTTCTTCCTTACATGTTAAAAATACACAGCCCAGAGCTTCTACGGTACATAGTCATTATAGCACGCTGATTTTCACCATTGTATGGTTTGGCCCATAAGAAGGATTGCTGCTAAAGCATTTCCTGTAGTTGTAGACATTCTTTCCAACCCTCTTGGCAGTACAGAATTCAGTTGTTACATCATGGGAACAACTTTTGTGCCCTTTTCCATTGCTTCTTATATGGCCAAGGATTCTTAAAACTTCACACTGTGGTCAGTGATCTCTATGGAGGTCTTGTTCTCAAGCCTGGTGTTTTATTTTTCTCCCAGCTCAGATGACTCTGATTATTTTAAGGAGGCATCTGATTGGATTTTACCAACAATGTAATTACTGTTGCTCGATTGGTCCTAAGGAAATTTATCTGGACCAATGTCCTTAAAAGGGATGATAATATTCAAACTTATGATTAGTCTTATCTGGTTGTAGAGTAATAAGAGATTCCAGCATATGTTAATTAATAATTTGAACTATAAATCAGGTAGCAGTCAGCTAAATGAGGTAAATTAGATTGATACATAACTCTTGGATTTAAATCATATGGACTTTCAATATGGTCAACAATAAAGCAAATGTTTTTATTTTATTGAAAGAGTTTGCCCTTTGTCTGACTATAATATAAAGTATTTTTATAAATACACTGCTTACACAGTGTTCTTGAAAATACATTTTAAGGCACTTTACAAAATATGATATCAATATTAATAAAGTCATTTGAATACACTCACACTTTGTGCATACACAGACATATATACTTATAATAATAATAAGGTAGTTATCAGAAAATGCAGACACAGACCTGTGTGTTACAAAACTATTCAGACACCATACTTACTTGGATTTATTTTAACCTCACATATTTTATTCTCATCTAATCAAAGTGATGCTTGTATTTTTCTTTGGCTGAAATTATTTTTATTCAGGAAGAAAAGATACTCTCTGAGGTTGTTCATAAATAGAATCTGATGATATGAACATAAATGAAGGATGATGATGATTATTATTTGTTACAGGTCTGAAGTATTATCATGGCTTCCAGCTTCTGCACTTTTTGTGGGTATTATTTATTCAGGTTCCAGGGCATTATCTAGATTGGTAAGATATTCAAATAGTATTTGGCATGCCTTTTTATTAATGTTTTACTACAAATGTCATATAAGGTTGAAGTAATTAATATTACCATAGTTAAAGACACATGTAGAACATTGAAAATTGAATAGATAGTTCTATAAGTCATAATAGGGCTTATTGAACAAGCAGTACACAGTCAGTAAATTCCAATTCTGCAGAAAATCTGTACAATTTGACTGCAGCTTTTGAATATGCGTGGCATGGAATATGAAAGATGTTCCTTCAGTGCCATATCATTCATAAAGTAGTGCCCAAAAGGTTGCTACCCCAATACACATAATTCCATCAATGAATTAGTCAAATTCATCTTTATTACCTTGCTGGCCTTTAAATCAATGGTTGTTCTTAAGTAAAAACACACATCTGGGTTACAAACCACTCATACAAGAATTATGTACTAAGTTATGAAAACATAAAAGTCAATAGTGGACTGGGCTCAAATTCCTGCCCTTGTCTTAATTTCTTTAGCCCTTCATTATCCCTCCCCCAAAAAGGATTCAGACCAAGGAGAATCACAAAGGAGATTTCTGCAGTTGAAATATCACAGATATTATTCAGAATGCTGAATATGTTGGGCTGCTTGTTGCTTTGTCTGAGGTTTGTTATGAGATGGAGCCTCATCTGGCTGAGATGAATTGATCAGATGATGGATTTAGAGAGATTGGAACTGAAACTGATCGGTCCAACATAATTTCCTTTCCTAAAGACTCTAAAAGGACCAAAAATGACAATCGGACAATAAACATCTGGTGAAAGTTAGCTGAGCTGGGCAATCTGGAGCCATAGTTGGCAGAAAAACATTTCTCTTGGCCCTATGAAGAGCCAATAGCATAAGGGAGATGAAAGGTGAGTGTATGTAAATGTGCTAATTTGGCTGCAGAAAAGGAAAAATGTAAATTCTGATGTCAGATTTTCTAGGATAGCATTATTCTAGTGTTTCCTTTCATTGTACTCTAATTCAAAAAACTCATGCTTAGCCATGGATCTTCCTTCTCTCTCAGCAACAAATATGGCAACAAGCCCAGCAGTGGAGCTGTGAGCTGGTTCTTTTTTCATTTGTTTTTTTCTTTTCCTGATTCTTTCAGGCTTGTTATCTGTGTGCCTTGTTCATTTGTTTTCTTTTAATACTAGTTCTTACAAGTTCCCAGGTAATTAAAACAAAACTTTTGTTGCTGCGATCTCTTAGATGTACTCATTTCTGAGCATGCTTTGTATCTTTAGTTAACTTTGAATGATAGAAGAACAAATAAATTGTCTATTGAAAACATTTGCTAGAGTCAAAATATTGAAAAACACTTCAAAGAGACCTCATATCTAAAAAGATTTTCTTATAAGTTAATTTGTCTAGACATTCAGTATTTCAAACTTCCCATGTTTCCATTCTATTTTTGGAATAAGAAAATGAGTTGAGTTAGCAGGGAAAATCTGTGGTACTATACCGTATACAATTCCGTCTCTCCTTTTCGGTGGCTCAGGCTATCAGTGCCTCTGCTGACATAGTCACAACACCATCTCTTTCAAAGATGGAGGCAGGCCTATAATCACTGCAACTTTTCCTCACATCAGGGATACCATGTGATAGGTCTGAGCATCAGGGGAGTGTAAAGAAGTCCTTGCTTTCCTCACTTCTAACTTGGATGTCTTCAAGTGTGTACCAAACTTTTTCAAAGGAAACTGAAGGAAGACTTCTGAGAGGTCCTATCAAATGTCTCCTTTTAGTGCCATCAGATGGGCAAAAGCAGGGGTGAAATCTACTTACCTTCCCAACTGGTTCAGAAGTGCATGCACATGTGCAGAGGGTAAAAAACAGGTTACTTCCTGGTTAAAACCAGATGACAACCAGGCGGGTGGGCAGAACCTCGCGCTGCCATCGCTACAGGTTCTCCAAAGCACCAGCCGCCATCACTACCAGTTCAGCCAAACCGGACCAAACCAGGAGCATTTCACCCCTAGGCAGAAGGCGATGGGCAGCTTGATTTATAGGGACTGCAATGCTAACTTTATTGATCCCATTTTCTTTCCTGGCAGCCAATTCCTATCTTTCTTACCTTACACAATGCTGCAGATGTTATATTTTATGGAGTGGAAGTCTCAGTGCAGAAAGAGGTATGGAGAATTAATTAAATAGCCTTTATATCCCTGTATATCAGGTTTCTGTAGTCACTTTGTTAACTATATTTTCTTAGGCTAAATATTTCAGACATTAATGCATGCAAACACATTAAGTGCAATACTTTTGCATCTGCTAAGCATTGTATTACCACAATGTGGAATATATATAATCTTTGGAAGAGACACATTCTCTTTCATTTGTTTGGGTAGCTGGTAATAGAAAGTTTGCTACCAGCATTTGGAATTGTGATATATAGGATCTCTAGAGATTATTTTTAAAAAATTAAGAGATATATATATGATCTGTAGACAACTGGATGCCTAGTCCAGTATATTGGAGACGATGCTAAGGAAACACAGCCTGAAATCTTTGAATAAGTTGTAACCTTTGAACTAGTTACTCTCACAGCTTAGCACATGTTCCTGATTGTGAGGTAAAATAAGTTTTGTTCTTCTATTACTGTAATCACAATAATTGGAATTCCATCAGAAAACAGGTGACATTTAAATGTATGGTAAATTTTTCTTTCATTAATCATGTTTTGAATGTGAGGTTTTTGATATTATTGTATTTTTTTTTCTTAACAGCAGAACTCCACCCTAAAACTCTGCAGGTAAATTTCCAATATTTGTCCAATGTGGAAATGTATGGAATTTCACAGAGACAGTACCCAAACAGTTGATCCTCTACTTAATAAAGAATTAGGAATGTTCATCATATATTATACGGTGATGAGAGCAAGTTTGAATAATGCAATACTCAGTTTAATGTGACTTGTAAATTGATACCAGATCATATTTAATGCAACTCAAAATTCAGTTAATGCAAGGCTAATGTGAGCGCAGTTGAGGCAAATACTTGTGTAATTGAAGTTGGGGTTTAGATATTGGCTATCTACGATATTCTCAAGAGTGTTGTCCAACACTAAAAGTTCAAAGGTGTTCAAAGGCATCAATACTCTTTCTGTCATGTTTCTTCAAAGTCCAACTTTTGCTTCCATGTTATAACAACAGCAGTAGCAACAGCAACAACAACAATAATATACAATGATAAATATAAGATTGAAGCCAGGCTGATTAAATTAGTACATTAGCATTCGTGTCTGTGGAGATTCTCTTCCTCAGGGAAAAAAAACAGTCCGGTTGCCTTTTGAAAAAGCAGCTTTTGAAAGAAAACTCTGATCAGCCATGAGGTGCTCTGGGGATTTTGGACCAGATACTGTTTCAAAGGATTTTTATGAAAATTTAAGAAAAACTGTGGCAGGAATGACATATGCACTTTCTGATCTTGTTGGAAGGAAGAGTAAATGTTAACATAAAAAGTATATATTATTTTTAACCACAGTTCAAAATAGAAACGCATAATTTCTTGGAATCTCTGGTGCTAAGTGGCCTTTTCATCTTTAATTGCAGAGGGCTGATTCTTCTGTTGGCCGCAGGAGGGCTGCCTTTCAATGACCCACAGGTTAGTTGTTTTCAAAGAAATCCTGAACTTGCTATGAAAAGCACAAACTCTCTTGTAACAGATGCCTGAAGTAATGACAGAATGAACTTCACCATGTGGTTTGAATTAAGGAGTATTTTACCTAGAACAGAGTTTCTCAACTTAGGCAAGTTTAACATGTGTGGACTTCGACTCCCAGAATTCTCCAGTTAGAATGCATGTTAGGCCACTGCATTTCAGGTATGCTGCGGAACAAAGCAAGCCTACAAAAAGTGTATATATTTGTGGCCCCTTAGAAGTATTGCATATTGCAATAAGAAGTTTAATGACTTCAAACTTATGCAGAACATCATTTTCATTGTGTAGTTTAATTTTTTCATTTCTGATTCACTGTGTATAATAATGCATGTATTTTATAATCCAACCCCCTGAAATTGGATGCATTTTAATATAGTATTCCTTGGCACTTCTCCATTTTACATCTTGCTGCAATTTAAATGTGCCAAAAACAGTCTTGCACTTTTTAAAAAGAATTTGTTCTCTGTGACAGTGGGTATTTCCTCTGCCTTATCCTCTGCTTGAAAATTTATTTAGAATTAACTTTTAGGAATATATTGGACTTGCTTCTTGGTAGACTTGGCCAAAAATGAGATTGCTGGTTTTGCTTTTTCTATATAACTGGATATGAAAACAGATTATTGCTGTGGTGAAGTAATGCATAAGATGCTTTATTTATTAATAAAGTATTCTTTACTGTAACAGTCACATTTTGAAAAAAGGACACTTTGATATTTTGCAGTTTGATATAGATGGCTATTTTTGGGCCCTCGTACACCTACTATGTGTTGGTAAGTTTTTAATAAATTAGCAAATAAATAATTCAACTTTCTGGCCTACGCGTAGCACCTCTTTGCTATGAGTCTCACTTTTCTGTCTTTATTGCATATGGTATCTGGTGGCTGACATAAGCATGGTCTTTGTACTTTCTCCTAGAACAGAAAATCATGGAATAGAAAATTTCTCCTCTCCTCTGCTCTCCTCTCCTCTGCTCTGCTCTGCTCTCCCCTCCCCTCCCCTCCCCCTCTCCAAAGATCCATGTTTGGTACAACATTACACTGAATTATATAGTTGTGGTGGTGGTAGGATTTTTATACAGGCAAATAACCATAATTCTGTATCTCCTTTTTTGAAACTATTCCTTACCTGTACCAGAGAATGAAAAAGTGTATTAGCACTTTGTGTTTTTTCTTTCACAGGGGCTTACAAAGTATTTCACAAGTTGTGGAAACCAAATTCTCTAAGGTGATTTTATTTTTTCTGAATATGGAATATTTAAAATAATGCTAGCTGGTCTGGAGAAGGAAAAAATATTATATTCTTTAGCTCTTTATAATTACATTTTTAATATAAAATACGAATAAGGATTAATAAGGAGACAAGGAAGAAATTGATGATTGCCTTCTGCAAGTATAGGCTAACTTTCCATAGTTTGATACCCTTTGAGATGTATTGGAACTAAAATTCTCAGAATTTCTTAGCCAGCCTATCCAGTAGATAAATAGGTACCATTTTGGTGGGAAGGTAACTGTGTTCCGAGATTTCATGCTGGCCACATGATCGCAGAAATGTCTTTGGACAGTGCTGTTTTAATGGCCTTGAAATGGAGATGAATACCGCCACTTATAGTCGGTAACAACTAGCAGAGTAAAATCCACAGGGACTCCTTTACCTTACCTTACCCATCCAGTGGTAGTTGAAAATTTTGGAAGTTACTTGTGGTTCCAACACATCTAGAAAAACCTGTTTTGAAAGGATAGCATTATTAACAATAGATATAACGAATGGAAACATTGCTCAGTAGAAGATTCTTACCATTCATTATGGTAATTAAATAAACTTTAGAGCACAAAATGTGTAAGTAGATTTATTTATGTATAAAATGTATTGATTGCCTCAGTTCTGAGGGATGCCAGGCAGAGTACAGGTCTAAAACATAATAAATGATATATAATTTGATGGAAAACAGTAATAGCCTCTCTGATTTCATTAACTTCATACAACCAATCCCCACCCAAAGACATTCCAGATTTATATTTGCCTTCAGGTAATGAGCTTGGGAGTCACCTTTGCTTCTGGAGACACCTTATTCCAAAATAGAGGAGTCCACACAAAGAACACCCTCCATCAAGCTCTTTCCTTTACACCTCATAATAAGAGGACACTTTCAACAGATGCATCCTGCTCATCCAGATCAGTTGTCCATCTCTCAAGCCAAAGTCAGTGGCAACAGAGAGTACAGAGATAAGACAGGCTTGATAAATAATTTGTTTACTCCCTGAAAATATAATTGAAATATAAATACATAATTTAGAGATGGCTATATTTTTGAGTGAAGACAACCTCTGAAAACAATGTCGATCTTTTTCTAATTCCATAGACCAATTAAACATCTCACTTTCTAGTATGAAGGGAAAAAAATACTTGTTTTAGATCAGAGTGTGAAAAATGTGTGGAAAAGCCTGATCTGTAGTTTTTTAGAAACACTACTCTAGCAATTTCTGTCACCTTATCATAGAAATGATGGGAAGATCAGCTTGATTAAACTTCTGCCAGTTCTTGTTAACTACCCACCATAAGTATTTAACTATTTTGGTGAAACATTTTCATCTTCAAGACAACTCTAGATGTCACATAAGATATAGTCAACAACATGTACTGTGTTTCCCCGAAAATAAGACCCTGTCTTATATTGTTTTGAACCCCGAAATAAGCACTTGGCCTTATTTTTGGGGAGGTCTTATTATTTTGGGGCACATGGAGCAAGATGGGATTCCTCTTGCCGTCTTACCTGATTTCCAGCTCTGATTTAAATATTTTTGGGGAGGGCTTATTTTCGAGGGAGGCTTATTTTAGCTCATGCACTCAAAAGCCCAATTGGGCTTATTATCAGGGGATGGGAAAACAGGGTATCTGTTAGATTAAAGAACCCGCCTAAATCAGATTCAAGAAGTCTCATAATTGAGAGCAAATAAAAGTTAGTACCATAAGTGTATGTTTGTGTATCTAATTATTTAAGGAATTATTAATATTGTTTTGACAGAGTTCTGGCATTAAAGTAACTGACTATTTTCCCCCCTCCTTAGTATCTCTGAACAACAATACATAAACTATGCATTCAGGTACGTTATATCTTGATTAAGAAAAAACATGGAATGTTTACCATCTCTTCATAACTGTATGAACATTAAGTTAATACCTACTATATTCATATTGCTCATTCATCTTATTTAGTGTTATTTTTTAAATTAATTAGCTTTTGATGGAAACACCAAAGCAATTTTTGTATACATTATCAGCTAGTTATAAAAAAGTAGTGGATTCTGAATTGAATGTGATATAATGTGATGGCCCAGAGCAATTGTGCTGCATTCCATGGAATCTATACTGCGAATCAAATGGACCTAGAAAAAGGATATTTTTGTGTCAACATTCAGGAATGCTGCTTATATTTGTAACAAATGTCTTTCTGTCGGTATCTGCAATCTTAGACTTACAAATATAGAACCATGCTGTATTTATAGAATTCTCGTACCCAGATGGATCAGAAAATAGTCAAAAGAGTCTACAGCCATCTTGAGAATATTTTTAGATGAATCGAGAATGGTCTATGGAAGAGTCTTAGATTAAAGAAATGTATTGTAATAAATAATGGGTTATCTACTGGCATATTAAAATTAATAATTACATCTTTTATTTCTAGTGTGGTGATGTTGGCTTTTGCATCCCACCCAACAGGTAAAAATATCAATAATTATAATTGGGATATGTATGTGTGAATTTTTCAGATATAATGTTATTTCTTTAAGCATGCTATTTAGGAATTTAGTTTGAGTGTGTGTCCAACCACACATATGAATCATTTTTACACACTCAGGACTCTATTCCTTTTTAAAGTAATAGCCTGAAGCCAAATCCAGAGATGCTCTGATATTGCATGACTTGAGAGCTGCACGTGCATAGCAGATGTTGTGCAGATATTGTGAATATGTGCACATTAGAGGGCACCATCAGTTTGATGCTGAGGCCAAAAACTGCAGTGCAGCTTCATGTGAAGGAGAGTCTGAAAAAATGAATTGTTCGTGATTGCATCTCAACTGACAAATAACACTTAATGCTCACCCTATGAATCAGAATTGTCTACTGTGATTACAACATTTAGTGTGCTCCACTCCTCAGGGTCTTACAGACAGTGGTGTCAGCTCTTGTTGCTCTCTAGCATGGCTCTTGCCTGCCTGCAGAACAGCAGTTCCAAGTCTTTTCTTTTATACCGAGCACTTCTTCATCATCAAGAGTTTTTGGGAACAATGTAGATCATTTCAAGCCAAAAGCATAGCTTTCTTTCTGTTGATGGTCTACAAAGGAGAGAGTTCAGATTTGCCAGTAAGGTGCTTTTACTTCTAGCCTACTATAAAACAGAATTTAGTTTTTTTTAATTTTTGATCTCCAAAGTTTGTGAAATAAACCATTTGTAGAATATAAAGCATTCAAATTTTGTGCAAACTGGGAAACTATGAGTTCTAGTTCCTCTTTAGGCAGGAGGGTACCTTGGACCAGTTACTTCAGCCTGCTGGATAACCTTGGATTAGCTACTTTCTCTTAGCCTTAGGAAGCAGGCAATGGCAAATTACTTCTAAAAAAGGAAACTTCATGGACTTGTCCAGAGAACTGAACATGATTAAATGGGGAAAAAAGACAAGTCTTTAGTTTACAATTGATATGGCTCTTAGCCAACAACTAGAAGACCTCCAAAGTTCCTTCCAATTCTGTTATCCAAAACAAGCTAGCTATTGTGACATGGCCTTCTCTCCAAATGTATTGAATCTGCATGTCCCAGATTCCCTCAAATATTAGGACAGGCCATTTTAAGGGATACACAGAGTTGGAAATCTTTTGTTTCAGCAATTTTTTTAAAAAATGGGCAAGGCTTTATTTATCCAGATGACAAACATGGGCAGGTGCAAAATAAATTGACTTCTATTGTCTATCAAACTTTTCTATAAATTCTTACACTTATTCCTAATTTTCCCCTATGACTAATACATTTTCTTGTCTGCTATTTAGGGAAAGATAGTGGAAATTTGTAAATCTTGAGGGAATCTGATTACAAGTAGTACTCAATTTACAACCATTTGTTCAGTGATTGTTTGAAATTATGGCACTGAAAAAAGTGATTTATGACTGTTTTTCACACTTACGACCATTGCAGCATCCCCATGGTCAAATGTGGACACTTGGCATGTATTTATGATGGTTGCATTGTCCCACGGTCATGTAATCCCCTTTGCGACCTCATGAGAAGCAAAGTCAATGGGGAAGCTAGATTCACTTAACAATTGAGTTACTAACTTAACTTTCAGTGATTCACTTAAAAATTGTGGCAAGAAAAGTCATAAAATGAGACAAAACTCACTTAACCGTGTTGCTTTGCAATGGAAATTTTGAGCTCAGTTGTGGTCGTATGTCAATGACTACTGTGTTCTTCAAAGAGCACAAAAATCTCTGATTTTTAGGAGACAGAATACATTTAACATACAACGCTATTGAAGAACACCTCTTTTGTGCAATGTATTCTCAGATATACCTTAACAAGTCCCTCCTTTATGAAACCCTAAAATGGCAATCCAATTTGTATCTTCTTCCTCCCTATCTTTGCAGTTTCTTCTTCTCTTTACAACAATTCAAAGTGATAGAAGGAAATAGTCATTGCTTGCAAGTATTTCCTATGGCATCATATGGAGCAAAAATGAATGAATATAGTCAGTGGAAAACAAATTACTCCCTGAACAACCATAATTATAAATGGGAGTCTTGCTCATGAATTTCCATGGAAAATACAAACACTTTTAAAGTAGAAACAAATTCCTTAAATGGCATTCTTCCTTTTTTACAACTTGATTTCAGACTGATGAGAAAGAGAATGAAATGTAAGAGCAGTGGCAAATTACTGAAGTGATAAAAATCATGTTAAAACCAAGAACAAGCCATTCAATTCCAGTTTTACAATGTTGAGTTCCTCTCTTCTGTCCATTTTTCAACAGAGCAACCAAATACTGGTGCCAATTTTTTAAAAAACTAAAAATATGATTTTATTTCTTAGGTGATCTCTTCAGTGCCTTGGAATTTCCACTCCTGTACTTTTACATCTTTCACAGCAGTTGCCTTGCCAGGTAACTTTTCAGGCTACAAGTCAGACCTTATGATATGGGTGGGAAACAAAGTATTATATTTTTGATGAGCTATTATTTAAAGGTGCTTCTTTTTTTCTAGGCTCAAATATGATCAAAGCATTCAATTATTGCTCCACAGTGATGCATCATACTAATCTGAAATTTAATCAAATGTTTTCTTCAAAATATGCCAAACATTATAATGTGAATAAACTATAGGATTATTTGCAGCAAAAGGCTGTATAACAGTTTGCTGGGGATTATACAAGTTATAGTGCAGCACTCATAAAAGGCACCAACACAGGAAAAGTTCATTCAAGTGAATTAGACCAAAATCCCAACACGTGTCTATTCAGAAGTAATAGCAATAGCACTTGGACTTATATACTGCTTTACAGCCCTCTCTAAGCGGTTTACAGAATCAGCATATTGCCCCCAACAGGATGCAGTCTAAATGTTAATTTTTAAATCATTTTGTCCCTTCATTCAGTCTTGTTGAAGCATGCTTTTAAAAGTTATTCTTACTAGATTGAACCAGTTATTAATAATGTTAGTTAAAAATGCCCAGCTCTGACATTTTTGAGGCATTTTTCAGCTACCTCTTGAGTTAAAAATAGATTTATTTGTCCTGATGGCAACTGGGACCAGAATTTCTGTTGCTAAGCAGTAGGTTGTAAAGTGCAATGTTACGTGACTGCATCACTTAATGATGGCAATCCTGCAGATCTGGTGCTGGAATAACCCTAGGACTGTGTGAGTCATTAAGAGGGAAGAAGCCAGAGTCACAGGCAAGCAGGCCAGTGGGTGCACAAATGCTGTTGGTGGGGTGGGGAGGGATACTGTAGACAGGCTCTGAGTGCAGGTGGGTTGCAGGTACTGCGGGTGATGCCAGAAGCAGGCTTGATGGAGTGCAGGCAGGTGAAAAAGCAGTGGGAGCAACATCCAACAACCTGCCAGCTTTCCCACTGACTTTGCTCAGGGAATATCAGAAGTTGTGAAATGACTGTACTTTACTACACTGTTGCAATTGCAAATTGGGTACCAAGTGCCTGGATTGCAATCATGTGACCATTGAGACAATGTGACAGCCACAACTCTGCAGACAGGACATATGTATCACTCATTTAGTGCCATTGTAATTTTGAATGATCATTGAACAGGGTCTATGCTATGATAATTTGCCACGGCAACTCACCACAGGCCAACTCACCATGGAACAACTCGCTACAGGACAAGAGTTACATTAATATCGAAGAAATAGTCAAATAGAATCATTAAAGAAAGGTTGTCAAATGTGAAAGTTAAAATAATATTTTAATTATCTTAATTTAATTTAATTTAATTGTTGAATTATCCCGCAGCAGGTTGTCCCAAAATGAGTTGGCCATGACAAGTTGTCTTGCAACAAGTTGGCTATGGCAAGTTGGCCACGGCAAATTGGCTATGGCAAATTGACCATGGTAAGTTGGCTATGGCGAGTTGTCCCATTCCACACTGAACAAGTGATTGTAATTCAAGGATTACCTTTATTTTGAGTATAGAAGCATACCATTTGTATTCTGGCCCTTTTCCATTGAGAGATGCTTTAGAGCAGCAGTCCCCAACCTTTCTAGCTCTGCAGATTGGTGGCAGCGATAGGGAGGGGATGGTTTCAGATGCGTGTGCACCGCTTGCACAAAGGCAGTTTCATGCACTCGCCTGCTGCTTGTGCAGCCTGGTTCCCAATGGCTGCAGACTGGTACCAAGCCTTGGACCAGGGTTTGGGAGCCCCTGGTTTAGAAGACATGATTTTAAAATTTCAAGAATTGTCTCCTGAAAAATAGTGACTCTGTAAAATTTCCCAGTGAACTGAATAGCTGAATAAGATTTGAACTATGGTTTAAAGATGGGAAGACTACTGTATTCTCTACAGAATCCTTTTCCCAACCAAATAAAGCATCTTTAAGCAAAGTTCTGTCACTAGGATGCTGCTGCCAGCAAAACAGAAGAGCTGATTGGACATTCTCCTTGTATCTTAATTTCTCCCACCACAATCTGTTCCAGAATTGGAATGGTCCTGCAAAGGGAGAAGGAATGCAGGAAATTCTTTGTCCTGCCTTACTTGATGGGATTCTTTATGAAATCTAAAGCATCTTTCCCTAACATGGTGCCAGAGACCATGCTGCCATAATCAATTTTGGGAAATAATATCCAATACATCTGGAGGACACCATGGTGGGAAAGCTGTTTTAAAGCTTTCCATATGTGATGGAAAAGTGATAGAAACATAGGATTGTTGTTGCTTATCTCTAAAAAACATTAACTTGTCTTTTAAGGATCTTATTTGAACACAAAAACTCAACTAATACATTTTTCTACTACCCACCACAGTGGATTTCTGGGATTTCTTCTGACTTTACATACTATGAAACTTAAAAACAGCATCTCCTCAGGACAATATTTAGCTTGGAATTTCTTAGCGAAGGTAAGATGATGACTATTCTATAACTCAAAAGTTTAAGTGAGCATTGTCTTTAATTTAGTTATTACAGTATTAATAAATTATAGTTCCTGTTGTATAAATAACATTGTATTTGGCTATTATTTGTTTTCTATAATGTAATAAAACAATAAAAAAGAAGACAGTCTTTTCTCACTATGTAATTTCATCTCCTTCACGGATTTCATTAAACTATATATAGATCTTCCGCAAATATACTTTATGTATTTTTGAAATATTGTGGTAATTCTTTCAGGTCTCATAGAACAGAACATATGCTTCTTTAAGCATTTCCCCCAAAGCCAAAAAACAGGTTTTCTTTGAAATCCACAACATAACTGGTATTATTACATTGGAAATCACAGCCATACTTCTGCAGCCAATGGGAATAGTGTTTTTTTTTTTATTACCATGGGGGAGGAGATGGAATTTTTCACTGCACCCTCCCTTTAATCAATTTTAGTACTTAATTTCATATAAAACTAAAGGACATTGAAAGCCCCTACTATAACTTCATCCTCTACATTGACTCTTAACTTTTTGTCATGTGGCTTTTCTGCATGTAGATTTACTGCCGTGTTATCACAAAACTGATATATACAGGAATATTGAGGGTTTTTTTTTTAGTAATTAGTCTTGCCTCATTATGACTTTCCTATAGCTGCCTCTCAGATTTTTACTCCCAAACACCTAAGCAAATGTGATCAAATACACACAGAGATAACATAAGAACTGGTGGTAGAGGAGAAGGCTAGCAGATTTTTTTATTTTTCTGGTGGGGGAATGAATAGATTTTTGTTCATTCATGATCCAGACAAGCTTATTGTGAGCACAATATACAGGGACCACAAAAATAGCTGTTCTCCAAGGATTGCCTGACATTTTCTTCAATCAAAAATGGTTTATGCAAATATAAATATTCCCCATGATTATAACAGAAAAAGATAAAGGCAACAGTAACTGATTCCATTTACCTATGTTTGAAAAGGTCACTGTGGTCTATGAATATAATAATGAATATTGGTCCTAAGGCATACCCAAAGCCAACATTCAACTTTCATATAATTTTAATACCTGAAGAGGATGTAGCATATAGAGGGTATTGATACAAGAGACTTGTTGCAGCTATAAATGTAGGCTTTCTGCTTGTTTCCATAGAGATGACTTGATAATAATTTTGAAGCATCCAGCACTAATTATTCAGCACTCAAATTGATGCAAAGTCCTCAAAATAATGTTGATGCTGCTTGTATTTGATATAATTCTATTTCTTTTTTAATGCTGATACATTAAAAAGTACAATTTCTCTCATGAGAATAAAACTATCAAAATGAGCATTTGTAGTTCAAACCTATAGAAAAATAATCTAAGGAAGAATATGGTGACTGTCATACAGGCTATATTTCATGCCTCATTTACCTTGGTATAAATTAGAGTTGTGAGCAGTTTAATCAGTTCATTCACACTGGCCATTCTCATTCATGTCAATCATTGTAGACATGATCTGAAGGCATTATGATTTTGCTGAAGCTAAGCTGGTTTGGAAGACCTGTTAGGAACCTTCGTTTTATGCCATGAACTCTACGATGAAAGACAAACGGAATCGAAATATAATAAATATTAACAGTAAAATAGCAATCCTGTCCTTTCCAACACCAAGCAATGGGAGCTATTGTTCTTCCTTTCTGGTTATATGTCAGATTATTGTATAAAATGCTGAAAAGTATTTCTTTTCTTACCCATAATCATAACATTATTACATTATTTGTAATGTGTCTTCCTCTTTACCATTTCAAATGTTATTTCTGCTTCCTAATAAAACAGTATGAGCGAGTTACCGAATCTGTAAAATCTTAATCATTAAAAATTATTCTCTGTATAATACTTTCCTGTGCCCAACTTGACAAACCAAGGTTTTTATTTAGTCTTTCTCTTAAGCTATTTATAGTCTTCAGTATAAGCTGAATAATGATTCATGAAGATAGTAAAGGAGAAAAAATAACAACAATTGGTCCAGGAATAATTTGCAAATGCCAAATGATTGAATGTTGACAAATGTTCAGGTTTAGAAGATACTGAAATTAGATAGTATTATGTCAGAAGTATAGTTTCCATTCTTATTCAGTGCAATAACCTAAAGCAGGGGTGTCAAGGATTTCATTGAGGGCCGCATCAGGGTTGTATTTGACTTTGGGGGACTGGAATGGGTGTGGCTGTGGTGGGCATGGCCAGCTCGATGTCACTTGTGTCGGGGGTGCCTGTGGTGGCCCAAGTGTTCCACCAGCAAAAACAGGCTCCCGAGCTCCATTTTCAGCTGCAACAGCCTCCTGCAATCCTATGCCAGTGAAAATGGAGCTCGGAGGGGCCACCCACAGCCTCTCAAGCTCCATTTTTGTTGGCAGAGGCACCACGGGCCAGTCCTTCGCTGTTTCCAGAGCGGCCCGGTGGGCCAGATCTAAGCACCGCGCAGCCCAGATCTGGGCCTGGGCCTTGAGTTTCTTTCAGGATAGCTTGGTTTTCAGGTTTGTCCTTGGTCCCAAATCTTATCTGATAATTTGTACCTGTTTCTTGGTACAATACTAGTTGGAAGAAATAGGTATTGGTAGGGTGAGTAGAAGCTATGGGACAGGGAAGATAATGGGATAAAAATGGGCCAGAGCAAGGAAAACACAGTAATATCTGTCCGTGTTAGGTTTCCTTTGAGTCCTTGGAGAAATTCTTAATGCTGCCAGGACTCTGCCAGGAGTAGTCAGATTGGTTAAAAAAATAGCTGTCTGAGGGAAGTAACACAAAATAAAATTAAACAAAACAACTATGCTGAGCAAGCTGACTTAGCATACATGAACCAGAAACTTGGGCTGCTAAAAAAGTTGAAATTAATTTATCCCAGCTGTATTTACCCACCTTGGTTGGTACAGCTGCCTGTAATATCTAAATGACAAACAGGCCTGGTAACACCTTGAAAACGTGAGTCAGTTCCATGTTACAGGCGTTTAACCTATGAAGGGTCCCAGTTCTGGGAAGGAAGAGCTCAAGATCTTAAGCCTGCCCCAGGCTCAGGAGAAATTTAGACCAGCTGTTGATTTGCAGTGGAAGACCTTAAGAACAATTAGGCAAGAAATGGATGAATCAGAGTTCTCAAACACAGAGCTAGTAGCATTGCCAATCTTTTTGTGGAAAAATGAAGCGTAACATAACCCCTATTCTTTCCTTTTCTTCTTTTGCTTTTCCATTACATCATCTGAGAAACAGCAGACATACTACAAAAGTGACAGAATTAAAAAAAATAGCTTTGGGGACAAATGGAACAGGATCAGCAAAGCTGTTAATTTTGTTTTGTTTTTTTTAATTGGTTCTTAGGAGCATTTTTTTTTTTTGCTTTTTAATATCTCAATAACAGTCTGGAATTTAAAATAGAAATGGAAAATAAGCATAAATATCTTTAATGCACAATAGAGGCATAATGTAAATGGTTTTTTTTTTAAATCAAGTGCTGTAACCTGCCCTAAGTCACTTTCATGTGAGTTGGGTGGCTATACAAATATAAAATAAATAAAAATAACAGCAATGTTATTTTTTGCAATGAAACTAAGCAAATACAGTTTTCTTGTGCTGCTCCAAGTGCCACTATCTTCCCAAGTAATTTCAATATTGCTAAATAATATCAATTTATCTGTCAGTGTTTTATTTATTAAAAGCTTTGAGTGTTAGTATTGGTGACTTAATGTGGACTCTTTCCTCATTCACACCTAACTACGGCACAGATGTGGTATTTGCTATCAAAAGGCTTGTCAGAGGCTTGTTGCAACTGCATATCTTTAAGCCTATTTTCTGTTTACAAGGTATGCACACATATACAACATGCACACATAATTCTTGCTTTGATACAGTTTTTTAAAAATGAAACCAATCCTTTCATGCTACCTGTAAATTGGAGAAAAGAGAATTCAGAATTTCTTTTTCCCCTCTAGTTTCTACCTTGGCAAAGTGCCTTACTTTAATTTCACAATTTATTAATTTTAATAAATTTTAAGCATTAAATTTAATTTTAACTTTAATCTAAATTTTATCTGCCAGTCCAATTTAGCCTGTTGTAGTCAATTTTACATGGCCAATAGAAAACTTGATTTTATATGTTTTTTTCTACTTGTAGCCTACACCTCTGAATCTTCCCTTAGGAGTTTTCTGTAGTGAAATTGATAGTGCTGTATTACAGACTTGAAACACTTTGGATTTGGCAGGTAATTGGAGCCATGATTGCTCACAAAAAACATTATAAAACCTGTCAGAAAAAACAATTTTTCTGAGAAAATAGCATCTTCAAAGTTAGTTGTCATATGCTTGGGGAGTAAGGCAATTGATACACAGACATGATATGCAAAAAATTGGAGAAAATATTATAACGTTTTTCATAAGGATGATGTTCCTTATAAACATGAAGGATAATTTGAATCATTACATTTTCTTACTTGGAATACATTTGGAAATAAATTCCTCATAAATCAAACAGATGTTGTCCCTTCATTAAGACTAGAGAAAATAGAAATTAGATTCTCTGTAATTGACTTAAAGGTATAGAGAAAAAGTTTTTCAGGACCCAATTTGAGTTGGTCACTGGGACCAAAGGCTTATTCTTCTAAGCTTTTGGGAACATTGGATGATGAGCACAAGCCCAAAAGCTTGGAAAAATAAACCTTTGGTCCCAGTGACCGACTCAGATTGGATCCTAGGACATTATCCTGGGACACATATATTTATTTACCTTCATTTGCAAGAAAAAGTTTTGCATGAACTTTGCTGGGAATATGGATGTAAGCCTGTATGAGAAAATTATTTCAATAGGGAAGATACTGTACTTGGTGGTGGTTCAGTTAATGTAGAGTGCTTGCAATCTGACTTTGGGGACTAGGTCAAAAGTTAATTATTGAGAAAATGTATTATAGTTTATTGATACAAAAATCACATCATATCAGAATGCTGAAGCCTATGATGTCCAGGACTGATTTAGTTGTTATACTTTGAACTTCTGGCAGTTGGTTTTTTTTTCCCTTTATACAAAAATTGCAGAAATTCATGCTTATAAATTAATCTGAAGAAAGGCATGAGGAAGCAGATACCAAAATCCACTTAAAAAAATAATAATACATACACTCCATTATAATTTATTTTATGATCCCTGGAGATTATTTTTTTTAAGTGAATTTGAATTCAAATTTTGGTTGATTAATTATTTTAAAGTATATTAGATTTAAATTGAGTGTACAAATCAATGTTTAAAAACACAAGTGTCTCTATTTTCAATGATTCCAAGAAATGATGGAAAAAGGAAAATGGGACAGTGGGGGGAAAAAAACCCATTCTTACAGTTTTTATATGTAGTGATTAGCTATGATGGAAGCTATTCAATAAGAGGGATCTTAAAATGGCTAATGGGTGGGTAGCCCTTACTCCCTCTGCTTGAAATAAACTACATTCAAACAATGCAGTGTTGCTCTGTAAAGTATTCAAGATTCTGGCCATTTAGTTCTATTTTCTGACCTGAGTTTTTTGGCTATTTTAATATGCCCTCCCGCCTCTTTTTTGTGTATCTCCAATACATTGTGGCTGCAGAGCCATGACAGTCTTCTTCCCTTCACCCTTGTATTCCAAATTCCAGAGACTCTGAAAAATATAATTACATTCCTAAGGGACAGGAATCAAGATGCTTTACAAGCAGACAATTTAAAAAATGGCATTCCATCACTGCCCTGGAGACTGTTTTTAAAAAATCCTTCCACAAAAGGGAAACTAAATAAATTTATAACACGTGCACACACATTTTCAGTACTGGTTATGCACATTTGGCCTTTGTAAAAGGAAATCCAAGTAGTTGCCATGAGGAGAACTCAGCCGGTTTCAAAAGCACCTTTCTTACTCAAAGCTCCTGGTATTGTGAAGGTGAAAAGATATCCTGTCAACTTTTGCAATTTGGCACTTTTTACAACGGTTGAAATCAGTGTTTCTCATCTTCATTGACTTTAAGATGCCGGGCTTCGATTCCCAGAATCCCCCACCTTAGCATGAAGTTGCTGAGGGAGAGAAACACTGGCTTAAGCCATGCTGGGTTTTTTTTTGTTGTTGTTGTTGCAGCAGGAGTGCAGGACTACAACAGCAATTACTTTCCAGGGACAACAGTGAAATTGTCAGGTATTTCTGTCCTTCCTTTGACAGACAGACAGCTGGTTAGAAAAGGCCTTGCCACTGCTGCTTGCTTTCTCTTCTTCCTTACCTTGAAATGGAAGGTCCTGTGATAAATCCTAAACTGAAGTTGGGGGCAGGAAAGAAGGTTAACTATTGCCTCAACTGCAGGAACTGGGAGATGGGTTGAAACTAAAGTTCCCACTGGCTCAGCATTTCACATGTTGTAAAAGAAATACTGTGCTAGCTTTGCTGCAGTACCAGATACACTACAGCCAAGACGGAAGTGTAGCAATTCAGTTTTCTGTCAGGACTGACAGCATGGGATCATAGCAGTCAAAGATCACCAAGCTTGGGGGTGGAGGGTAGGGATTACTGCTTGGTTATCTGGAAGAGTAGTTTCTTGGTTCCTGTGGTTGGCTGGATTATTAGAACACATTTCTTAAACTTGAGGCTCATCTTTTGAAATGGTACATTCCTCAAAATCATAATACAGGCAGCTCTAGTTTAGCCACTACCTTATTTAGGGACCAGTCAGTTATAACACTAATGAAAAAATAAGTTTACCAATCCTCACAATTACAATCTATGCAGGTCTGTAAAGCAAAGGAAAACTGAAGTCAAATTGTAAGCATATTTGCAGTTTCATTTAGAGACTACTTTGCTTAATGACTCAGATACTTCTCCAAATGAAGACCACCTGTAATAACAACACTATAGTTCATTGGACCATTCAGTACAAGATTTCTGTTGGCAGATTTTTTCTCTTCTCAAAAAGATGACTCAGGTTATCTTAAGG